TATATATATATATATATATATATTATACCTTATATTTATATTTTAATTATAACATATTTTTTTTAGTTTTTAAAATGAGACAAATATTTTATAAGTATTTGTATAACAATATATTTAAACACTTCAAAATTTTGTAAGTGTTTATCAACACGAATATTGAAATATAAATAACTTATTAAATCTCATATCATGAGCTCCTGTACATTGAGGTTTTTTTTAAAATATATATCTCTTAATTAAGTTGTTTTTGCAAATGGGTCTTAATAAGTACATGTTTGGAAAGATCAAAAGTATTTTTACTTTCAAAATAATAAATTCTTCCTTCTTCATTTTGTGCATTTGGAATTTTCAAAAACACCTTCTCATTTTTATCCTAAGATGCACCAAGAAAAGGGTTTTGGTGTCCTAATGTATAGGATATTTACATTAATTTGAAATTAAAATTAACACATGTCTTGTAAATGAAATTTTCTATTTGCTTCACAAAGACACTGAGTTGACATAAATGATTGAGAATATGGAGTTAATTCTTGTCTTTTTTACGGATATATGATTTTCTTCAAAGTCACTAAAAACTTGTTAGGTAGACAACTCTTATTAAAGAGGTTCTTGGTGTCCAAAGAGTAGTTAAGTAGTTGTAATTAAATAAATCTATTTGGAGTCGAGACTTATGTAATAATTCCCTAAGTGAGCTTCTATAGACAGTTTATGTCATTGGCATTCTATCTAGTAGTATTAGGGGTGTCTTCTTGTTCCGTTATTTTTAAATTTTACTTTTTTTATTTGATAAGAAAATTTAACTCCTTTACACGAATTGACCTATATAAAAATAAAGTAGTATTTTCTATATCAATTTTAAGGTGGAGATCGAACTTTGATTATTAGTTAAAAAATATATATTTTTAATATACATCTGTACTTTTTTAGCCAATAATAAAAAAGTGTTTAATTGAATATATTTAAAAATATATTTCTAGCATCTCTTAATATTAACATTTGGAATTTTAATATATAAAAGAAGAGAAAACTTGCATGAATAATTGCACTGGGTGGTTGTTGAAGACGTACCCTTGCCCAAAATACAAAATAGAGTTTGGTACCTTTAATTACTTAAAGGAACTCTTCGACCAAAAAATGGTTCGCCAAAGTCAAAAATGCAAGGAACTCTCCTAGCTTTAACCTGCAACAGATATAAAGGTAATAAAACAGTTATCCCGCTGGATTTGGGCCAACCTTGTTTGAGCTTCGGAATCTATTAGGTTGGGCCAAAAAAACGACATACTTTTTATTCAAACCACAAAATCAATTGTTCAAGGTCGAATTTGTTGTCAAAAAAAAAGAAAAAAGTTCGGTCGAATTTTTATTTTATAATTGAATTGGCTTGAAAATAAATTAAAATAAGTTAGCTTAAAAATGTCTAAACTTGATTTTGGTCTAAAATTTATACTCTATTTATTTTACATGTTTGGTTGGAGGAGAATGGAAGGGAAAAAGTTTTTATATAGGTTTATTATTTGGTTCAATATTTAAGATGGAAGAGGAGGGAAGTGAAACTCCCTCAGAGAAGTGAAACTCCCTCCTCATTTAATTTTAGTTCTCTCTATTATTTAAGAGATTTGAAGGGACAAAAGGAATTTTAAAATATTTTGTCCAAAATATTTTTGTGTTTTTGTATCAATTTTACTTGTATACCTATCATAAAATTATCATGAAAAAGGTGAAGATATTAATCTATATCAAAATTTATGCATTAAAACCAATAATAATTGTTAAGTGATAATTTAAAAATTTTAGAGATTAGAGAAAAACCTTTATTTTTCAAATTTTATTCTCATTATTCAACAATAAAAACACATATGTTTACTGTCTTTAATAGATATTAAAAATAAAAAATAAAATTAATACTTTTAAAAATTGTAAAATATTATAAAAAGAACAGTTATTTTTTTTCTTCTAAATTGTGCACAGGATAAAGTATAAGATTCGGCAATATGATTTACCCTCTCCATATTTATATATAGTTTCAATCATAGAATTAAGATAAATTAAGATTATAACATTCTTAAACATTTGTGTATAATACTGGACTAGATATATCTACATGAGTTGAAATTGGGGATAGCATAACTTCAGGAGGAGATACCTAGCTTAGAGGTTGAAGCATGGATCAATTACTTTACCCCTTTTAATATCATCAAATGTTCTTAAACCTTGAGTTTGGTTTAAAGCACGTTTCTCTACCTTCTGATACAATAAATATTTCTCTCTCTCTTTTGGTCAGATGATACTGAATTGATTTTTTTTTTTAATCTAGCGTTGAAAACTTGATTGTTCCATCTTCGATGGCATTCCTCTCTACCACTGGCCCCATAAAATGCAAAAGAATGACCACGTTTTCACCACTGTCCTTTTCTGCTTCCTATAATTTCTGCAATATTTCCATTCCTGGAAAATTAAGTAAAAAAGTTGGTGCACATAGCAATTTTCTTTCTTCATTTGCATACAAATCCTCATGGCATAGGAACTTGTATTCTGAGAAGCAGAGAGGCATATCCCTGATTGCCTTTGATGGTAAGAACCCAGAATCAGAAGGAGAAGATGATCATGCCCTGAATGCAGTAATGAAATTGTACTCTGCCTTCAAGAATAAAAACAAACACGAATTATCCGAAGAGGAAAGCCAGCGTGTGAACAATTTTCTCTCATTCTTAGAAGCCTTTCAAGGAAGAACGGTATCTTTTCCTCCCTTTAGGTGGGCTTAATTTTATGTTTTTGAGGGAAAAATTCAGTGTTTGGATAAGCATATTCAAGCAATTTGTGGGAATTATATAAGTTACTATTTTGTACCCATTTTCATGTGTTATATCCTCACTAACCAAAATTAAGTAGAATTAATGTCAAATGTGAATCTAATGTGGTGCACCCCTTTGCATGCATTGCAGCAAGTGTTGGAATTCTTTTCTTATTTGACAAGTATATTTGGAAACAACATTCAAATTGTGGTGAAACCGACTCCACAGGACGGCATAAATGTTGGTCTTCAGTGGAAATTCGGTAAACAATCTTTATCTCTTCTCTCCATAATCAGAACAAGGAAAGTTATTTGTGTAATCTGTCCTTATTATTTCTTCATTGCAGATTGGGACAAGATACACCTTCCCCTTGGAAAGGGTTTCAGCTTACACATAAGCCACACATACCACGGAAAGGCTGTAATAAGGTTTGTTAATCTTGGATCATAAAATACTGAATTTATACTAATTAAGATTTCTCATAGTTGATACCATCATTTGTGTCTCTAATTCAGGAATATTGAGATGTTTATGGAACCACTGCTTCACTTGCAACCCTTTGGACTGGTATGCAACATCAAGTATTATAACTAGAATATTGGGGTAAATAAATAGCTTTAATTACCTTTGATCATATGCTTGTGTCTCATTTCCATATTTTTTCCCTTTTCGTGTCTCTTATGCAGAAAATGAAAGTAGGCCTCAGAGAATTCGTGGATAAGATAGGGTCATTTATGGTGTCAGAATCCGGGAATAAGGCTAAAAGAATTTTGTACTTTGTGATTGCTGTGTTGTCCCTAGCTGCTTTCTTGTTCTTCATGAAACTGGCTTCATAGAAAGCCGTGTCATAAATCATGCTATGGTCAATTTGTTAATTATAGGCTTTAACAGGGTAACCTACACATGATTTGGATCTCTTATATTCCTTGTTTGATGTGACAGGAAAAGAAAAACACAAACAATTAACTATTATTTGCGTAAGTCCATTAAACTCAGCTTGTGGCCTTTATCGGGTCACACATAAGAGAAAAAATATGAAAGGATTTAAATCCTTTTGTAAATTTGGTCCATCAACGACAAACAATTAATATTGCCACAACGTCCATGTACTTCTAAAGGTTCATTCAACTGCATCATCACCAGGGCCATGAGATTTGTGCAAACTGTGATTTGTTAAATATACTATCTTGGTTATGAATATATATATATATATATATATATATATATATATATAATATATATATGTCAATTAAAAAAGTTAGTTTACATCATTTAATTTTAATAATTCTATCTAAAAATAGTTTATTTTTTAAATTATTCTTTCTTGAAACATGACATTAATAATTTTAAAAAAAAATAATCTTAAATAAATGAAATGATATTTTAGAGATAATAGCATTAAATAAAGTTAAGTTAATTTATTATATTTAAAATCAATAGATATGATTTTTTTTCTTCTAATATTCAAAATTAGAGGTTGTAGAATTGACAATGTGTTTAATAGAGAAAACAGAAAATAGGTGAAAAATATAATAGAGAGAATAGATGAGTGAAAATTGATAAGAAATAGAGTGAAAATTTAATTGTTTAGTTGAAGAGAAATAAGTAAAAAATAATCTTATATATATTTAGTAAGATAAAAAAAAAATAGGTAAGAAATAAAATATATAAAATAATAGAAATAAATAATTAAATAATAGAGTAAAAAATAAAAATTATTTTTATTAATTAATTTATATTTTAATCATTTTAATAAAAAAAAATATATAACTAAATAATAAATAAATAATTAAAAGTAAATAAATAATTCTAAAGTAATATTTTTATATTAAAAATTAACTAAAATAATAAATTTAAATTAAATCAATAAAATATGCATTTAAAATAAATCAATAAAATTCTAAGCTTTTATTCAAATAAACATAATTTTATTTGAATGAAAGTTTACTTTTATTAGATTGAAAGTTCACATTTTTAAAAGAAAACATATTTGAATAAAGAGTTTTATTTATTTAAATAAATAAATAAAATCACACGAGTAATGATTTTTATTCAAATATAAATACATTTTTTAATCTTATATATTTGATCAATTTATTAATAAATTTTAAATAAAATAGTTGTTTAATTTTTTCTTGAAAAACAACATAACTTATGTTATTAGATATGTAAGACTATAAAGTACAACTAAAAAGAAATATAATTATAATCAAAGACTACAAAAATAAAAATTACATCATCTTACATAAAAATAGTTACAGCTTAAATACGGGCTGGTGGGGTGACTGTCCAATGCCTCATTATCGTTGGGACACCAAAAAATATTATTTAGTCTATATAATATAAAAAAGTTACAATATTAAATTATTAAAAATTTATTAGAGAAAATAAATTAATTATGAATAATTAATCAATAGTTGAATTTTTCACTAGTCAACAAAAATCTACCAATAATTTTAGGGAAGTAAATTGATAATATTAAATGTAAAGAGGGAAGTGTGATATGTTATTAACTTTTTTTCTTTTTTTTTTCTTTCTCTATATAATCTTCCATGAATGTTAACGTAAAATTATAAATAAAAGTTACCTTTAATATTCTCTTTTTCCTTTATCTCTAATTTCTTTGATTTTTTTTTTAAACCAGGACCTATCTTACTTCATTGAAATTTTGAAATCAAATTACGAATTTTCACCTCTCTATCACAATATTCTTTATGATGTGTCATTATTAAGCTATCTTACTCTGCTCAAATTTTAAAATCAAATTATGAACTTTCACTTTTTCATCACAAACTTTTTTGTGATGTATTATCATCATTGATTAACTTTTTATTGCATAATATAATCTCTAATAATAATTTATAGTCTCATAAAAATGAACGATTTAATCATTTTTTTTATGTAACTGTATGTTTAATTGTTTATATGTTTATACTTTTAGATTTGAGAGTTGAAGTTATATAAGTAATATTTAAATATTTATTAGACATTATCCAATTTTAATAAAAGTTAAAAATTTGAAGTTCAAACCTTATAATTTATGGCCTACGTCATTTTATGACTTTTGATGTTTACTATTTTGACCTTTTATATGTGAACAGTGTAGTGCATTATAATTAGTTTTTTCTATTCAACTTTTTTATAATTAAAAATCTATAATAAATAATTGTTATATTTCCTATTTAGTTTTTAGAATAATGGTTATACACTACAATCAATATATCGCAAATCATAATATAAATGATTTTCAAATAGTTTTATAAAAATCAATAAATTTTATTGAAAGGATCAACTCTTATATGAATTTCGACATTAAATAAATGTTAGTAATTTGAGAGACTAATCTTTAATTTTAAGTTAGAGATACTGTTTTAAAAATATTATTATTATTTACTATTTTGTTGGTCTACAAATTGTATTTTTGTACACGTTGAGATGAAGAGAAGGTTTCCTGGAATTATGGTCTTCGTGGAAGCAAGTGCTGCAAGAGAGTGACATTCACGATCTTCTCATCCTCTCTCATACCATTTTTTCTCGTTGAAAGTTCCTCTCTTTCGGATCACCACATGACCGTTTCCTTCTCTGTTCTTTTCCCAAATAAAAAACAAAAACAAAATCCTCTCTCTCTCTTCTTGGCGTCTTTTCTTGCTGCGAGAGTCATCTCTCATTTTTCTATTCCATGTAGGTTATACCTTTGTGGGATTCTTTGACCCACTTTCTTTCTTTCCTCCAAGACTCTTTTTTTTTTTCGTTTTGTTTTGTTTTCTGAGCCCAAGGAAGCCTTTTTCTTTTGCCATTCTCGTTGTGTGGAAGATTCTACCAAGTGGGGTGTTTTCTCTTTGCGTGCGTGTTTGTTTGTCTTTTTCTCTGTGTTGATGGGTTGTTGATGTCCCTGGCCATTGTGAAAGACATGGGTTTTGATGACAACGCGGAAGACAATGAGGGTGCCTCTCGAAAAACTGGCACTGATCATCATGAAGAAAGTGCAGATGAAGGAGGGAACCTCAGCAGATACAAGAGTGAGAGTTCCGTTGCTGCTACCGAGGATGAAGATGATGATGAGGAGAGGAAGATTGAATTGGGCCCTCAGTTCACTTTAAAGGAGCAACTCGAGAAGGATAAGGTTGCTTTTGCTTTCTTTTCTTTTTTGTTTTTTCTCTTCGGAAAAATCTATGAATTCTTCACCCATTCTCTCATTTATGTGTGTTGAGATGGTGTAGGATGATGAGAGCTTGAGGAGGTGGAAGGAGCAGCTTCTTGGAAGTGTTGACATAAATTCTGTTGGAGGTAACAGCGTCTATAGATATGGCATGCATTTGTTCGTGTCTTCTTTTTATGTAATGAAATGAATTATTCTAACATTTTGAATCTGTACTATCTTTTGGAGACTCGAATATCTCATTTCTTTACTATTTTAACACAATATCATTATTTGGTAATTCCAAATGTATTAACACCCTAATATTGTTGTTGTTATGGTTTATACAGTTAAGTGATAAAATTTGAACTATATTCGAAACATATTTCATTTTGTGAAATCCAACTAACAATTGAATCAGTAAATGGTTCCATATACTATTGTTCCCTGTCTTGCGATTATCCCTTATGAAATCCTTTCCCTGTGAAATATTTCATTAGTTTTGACGTACCTTCTCATCTGCACTGTGAATAATTTAGAAACTCTGGAGCCAAATGTGAGGATCCTCAGCCTTGCAATTAAGTCTGCTGATAGAGCTGACATTGTTCTTGCAATACCAGAGGATGGAAATCCCAAGGGTTTGTGGTTTACTTTGAAAGAGGGTAGTCGTTACAGTCTGATGTTCACTTTCCAGGTAGAGAATAACATCGTTTCAGGTCTCAAATACACCAACACTGTGTGGAAAACTGGCATCAAAGGTAACCAAGTATTATTTAAATATGACTCTCAATCAAATTATGTGAAGCAGATAATTTGTCTTTGTGCATAAGCTTATCTCATTGCTAAGCCTTGTTACAGTTGACAGCACTAAAGAAATGATTGGAACCTTCAGCCCCCAAGCAGAGACTTATACACATGAGATGCCTGAAGAGACAACACCATCTGGGATGTTTGCTAGAGGAACATATTCAGCAAGAAGTAAGGTAATAATATTAATGTATGATGATGATGTGCTTCCTTAACTCTGAAGAGATTGTTTCTCCCTGCATACTGTTTAACATGGTCTAAGTCAAAGGTAAAAAAACTGGTAGCTTTTGTGCATTTACTATCCCCATGCATTTTTCAAGCAACTTTATCAATGATAAGATCAGCTACTTTTACAAGTTTCGCTAGGGAGTTACTGCATTACTCAATATGGGTCAAGAAAAAGAGTTTTTTAAAATAGACTCTTACTGCTTCCTTATTGATATTATGACATTATTTTGGAAATCAAGTGAAGCTGAATTAATGCTTATTTTGGATCTATTAGCCAACCAATAAATGTTATAATAAATTTGATGACAGACTTTTCATGTTCTACCTTCAACTGCTCACTAGAAACTTCTGTTGTACATGTAATGAAGTCTTTACATATGGATTAATGTAAACTATTTAACTTATTATTTCGTTTGTGAATTTTTCAGTTTGTTGATGATGACAACAAGTGCTACTTAGAGATCAACTACACTTTTGATATTCGAAAGGAATGGCAGTAGGAGTCAATGGACTTCTCCTTCAGTGAGATGTTCAATCCTAAGTCATTGTTATTTGTGCTGAAATCTCCTTCAGTGTTTACCTGCTTCTTTTTCATTGTTTATTTATTTCTAATCCTGTCTGAGGCCGGTAATGTTAACAATGATGAGAGGATTTAGGTGATGAAATTGGTATTCATTTGATCGATAGTTTTGTCAATAAAATTGAGTTTTGTCTGTTGGTGCACAACTATGCTCCTTGTTTCTTCTCAGGGTAGCAATGTAAGTAATAAATATGGTTTTGAATTCTAATTTGGCATCCATTCTGTGAAATTGTCGTGGTTTTACTTTGGGTGAGCGAGCACGGCAACGGATGAATGAACTATTTTAAAAAAGAGTATATGTTTCTTAATTTTTTTTTATATTTATTTCCAGAAGCTGTTTTATCGTATATGAGGAAATAGTTAAACCTTTTTTCAATTATCTTAATTTTTTAAACATTTATAAATAAAAAATATATTTTTTATTTTTATTTTTCTTCAGGAAAAAGAAAAGGTGTTAGGCGAGCAATGTTTTGGGCTCCTTTTCCTTTGTCCATTACTTGTATACATTGGCAGTGTATCTGTGTCCTTTTGGGTTCATTGTTTTAATATAATTCCTAAAAGACCTGTGTTAAGGAAAAATGTCATAAAACCCCGCACTACTAGTTCACTCTCGGGCTCAAAAGATTTAGTAATCAAACATGTTGATGTTCACTCTCAAATATTTTTTAATGGGTTACATGTTGTTCTTACCGGAAATTTGCTGTAGAGCTGATCCGCCCAATTTCAGCAATTCAACAAAAATCATCAAACATCAAACAACTTCAACAACTAATGAGTTTACAACAACTCATTCTCAACCAAAATCAACCACAAAACTAACTTCCCTTACCTCGGTGAAGAATCCGAGCTTCCGAGAACTTGAATGGAGGAAAAGAGTGAAAAAGAACTTGAACGAAAGGGGAAAAGAGGAAGAAGAGATGCGCACCCACCAGCTACAATCCAACTACTCAGCACCTAACCCAAAGAGATCACCACCAAGAATCAGGAATGGAGTAGAGAATTTTGAGATAGAAAGGGTATGAGAGTGAGTGAGGGTGTCGGGGGTAGGAAGAAAAAGAAAGGATCTCACAATTTTAAACTATAAAAAGTATAAAAAAAATTAAGTAAAAAAACTATACCAACTAAAAAACTCTTTAACCAATATTTAAATATTATGAGTATCTCAACTTTTTTCAATTTTACAATAAGTCTCCCATCAATAATCCATTAAATATTTAGCAGATTTTATTGACATGGCAATTGGCAAGAGACGTGTTACTAAAATGCTAATAGAAGATTGGGCTAATTTAAAATGAAATAGTTACACTTTAAAAAATAAAGTATAATCATAATTATTAATTAAAAATTAATAGTTAATATTATATTAAATTTTATTTTAATGGAATTTGATTTTATAATTAATTTTATAATCAATAATTATAAATATATTTTATCATCTAAATTTTTTTACTTTAAAAGAGTGAAATCCATAACTGTCACATTGGCATATTGGCCATCTACATTCTAGCACTCTACTTTTTTTAGTTTTTGAATTCTAAAATAGGTTCCATAATTACATATCATTCATATCTATTTTTTATACTTTAAGTAATTCATTTCTCCAATATCGTAATTCTAAAGTTCTTATTATATTAGTTTCATAATTAGCCTTATATTCTTATATTATCTTTTTATTTCATTAAGAAAACAAGTAAGTGGACTCACAATTTTTAAGAACTTACTTTTTAAGATGTGGTTATATAAGTATTGTTGTTTGAGGGTGTTTAATAAGTACATTCTCCGGTAAGAATTATTCAGTAATGATGCTTAATAAAAAAAAGTGAAATAAGAACATCTATTGGAGGTACCTTAGTACTATATTAACATATGCGTTAGTGTATCACACCATATTTACATTAAATCTATTAAATATTTAATGAATCATTGACATAAACTTATTGTAAAATTAAGGATAGTTGAGAGAGACCCAATTAATGCAATGGGTCCAAAGTCTTATAATTACACTATTTAACAAGTCTAAAGGTGCAATAAGAAAAGACAAAATAAAACTCAAGAATTTCTTAATTCTTAATTTTGTATTTTTGGTTTTTATGTGCACAAATATTTTTCTCAATGCAAAATGTAAACAAATATAAGCCTAAACTCCCAATACATATATAAATGCATGTTAGAGAAGTGGTAAAAATCGGTTATTTTAGTTGGAGAGCTCAAGCTCTTCTAAAAGTTCACGCTAGAATAGCAAAAGAAAGAGAAGTGAAGGAAGAGGAATGAAAAAAATAAATTCTAAATAAAATTTATTTTAAAAAATATTTAAGAAACTTTTTTGAAAAACAAAAGGAAAGAAAGAGAGCAAACATACTGATTAAAATAATATATATATATATGCCCAAATGAGATTTCAATTTAAGAAATACAAATTTAGATTAATACACAAATAATGTATAAAAAATTATAACACACAAATAATATACTGCATATATGCAGTAGTATGGTGTAACAGCTAGTTGAAGTGATATGTAAATTTTTATTTTTCAATTAGTTGGGACTATATGGACGGGATTAACCTTCTAAGGACCTATTTACTTTCAAAACAATATTTTTTTATTAATAAAAATATTACCTTATTTTTTAAAAAATGTAAACAACGTAAATATAATAATTTTATTATTTTATTCATATATTTTAAAACATAAAATAAAATAAATATTATATAATATTTTCATTTAGAATAAAAACAATAAATGGAAAAAAAATACTTTCTAAATCTAATTAATCCAAAATTCCCTACATTTTGATTAAATGTGTGGAAATAAAGGGGGGGGGGGGG